CATAAGGCAGACCTTGTCATCTTTGTATCATCCTGTTAGGCAGTAGTAGACAACAGAATCCCTCCTCCTCCAGGCTGAGCAAGCCCTGGCCTCAACTTCTCCTTGTGTGCCACCTGCTCCAGCCCTTCATGAGCTTGGTGGCCCTGTGCTACACTCACAGGGCTGGGTCAGTGTCTCTGTTTTCTACTGAGGAGTCCAAAGATGGACATTACTTCAGCTGTGGGCTTGCAAGTGCTAAATAGAGGGAAGGTATCACTTCCCTGCCCCTGCAGGCTCTGCTCCTGCTCATACAGGTCCCTCTTCTCCTTCACACAAATTAACACTGGAAGCCTGACACTCTCGTAACACATGTGGCTTTGCAGTAGTACAGTTAGTTGTAATCCTTCTTTGTTTTCTGATATGAATTCAATGGCCAGAGTTGAGGGTATGATAGGAAATTAGGGGTATGAGTTTTCTTCCTGGTACAAGCTTTAAGGAGGACTGTTTTTTTAAAATTCTCTTTAAAATTAACAAAAGTAGTATGTAAATAAAATCACCAAAGTTAGAAGGAAAACTGAAATCTTTACTGAACCATTCATTTTTAACATTCAGATATACATAAGTCAACAAGATTGCAATAAATTTTCTCCGATTTTTTTCTGTTTGTTTTGATTCATATTATTTTCTAAGTCTTTGGCAACCAATGGTAAATTTTAGTTTTCTTTCTCTTCTTTTTGATAACTTTAATTGATCAAACTCTTCTTCCCTTGGTCTCACTGAAACAGGGATACACCTATTTCTCTCCATTTCTGAATATTTCAGCAGAGAATTATCATAAGACCTCGGTACTCATCCATGTATAACAAGATCTGTATGTGTAGTACAGTACTAGACCAAACCGACCATGCTGTGTTCTTGTGTGTGTGTGTGTATATATATCTATACACAGCTTTTAACACTTTTAACAGAAGAAAATGTCTACTCTTTGTAATATCGACTGTGTCACAGGAAAAGTGGGAGGTCTCAAAAAGCAAAAAAATAGCAGAAAAGATGGGTATGGGGAGTGGTTTTGCTTATATTAAAAAAAGTATCCTGGGTAGAAAAATACCAGTGAAAATATGGTCTTATTTCACCTTGACAAATTTTTTTGGTGGAAACCAGTTTTTGTGTTGGTATTGCTAGTGTAGACTCTGTAAGGATGAAGCTAGCTCCAGACATTACTTGGATGTCACTGTCTTCCCTTTGTTCGCCATAAATGTGCAGTTGGATTCCAAATGGGATGAATGAAATTCAAGGTTTTGGTCACATGCTGTGGTGTTTCTCAGTGGACCAGTCAAACTGATGGACCACCAGTGGCCGAAATACCCACTGTGTATTTCAAAAGTTTCGAAGTTATTTTTAAGTAAATGACAGTGTAAAAAAATTAATTCAAATATTTTTACCAACTTCATCGCAGGCAAATTAATCATCCTCTGCACCAAAATTCAGCATAGAAATAGGCTTGGAAAGAGTATATGGAAGCAAGATATTCTAATAGAAATGTGCATTTAAGCTTCTATATAAGTGCTTGGCATCAGCAAAATCTGCGCTCTATAAAATAAAACCATTGTTTTCACCCAGACTCTCTTCAGTCCCCTTCTTTTTATTTTCTTATTCTCTCTTTCTTTCTACGGTATAGTTTTATTGTTGGTAAAGCACACAGACAGAAGCGGCACCCATTTTTCCCACCCATTGTCTGTGCATTTGTGCCCTGGATCTTTCTTTCTTCTGCCGTTTCTACCAAGAGCAGCAGTGAAAGCTTAGCTCGGATCAGGCAGTGCTACATGATTTTTCAAGCTGAGCTACTGCTTGCCTATTCAAATAGCCAGAAGCCTGGCAGGGTAGAGCTGGCTTTATTTGTTGAGTCTTGTCTAGCGAAGTGAAAAGGGCTGACTTTTTTTTTTTCTTTTTTTTTTTTTTTTTCCCCCCTGGCTGCATTTTTGCACATGTGGGGGTAGGGAATGAAATTCTTTCTTTTGTCCTCTACTTGCAGTTCATTGAGAAGCAGGCATGCATATAAAATTACTGTATCTCAGGGCTTACCTTTAGGGACAGGAGGGAGAAAAAACAGATTTGTAAGCTTCTCTGGAAGCATGGAGGATGCTGAGAGCAGACCCAGAAGTGGGAGATAACAGGATAATAAGACACAGTCAATAGAGGACTAACCAAAACCTTTCAAAGTAATAGAATGGCAGTTTAATTTTGTCCCTTGTAGGAAAATGCCACATTACTGCATGTACCAAGGGGGCAAAAAAATTGTGTTGATGTGTCCAAGAACACTAAAAAGAAGTATAAGTTTGAAAAGTGACCATGAAAAACATGTGACAAATACCTGTTCTTTGGTTTTTGTGGTTTTTTTTCCCCTAGATATTAAATTATTCCTGCAAGTTATGTTGAGGGGTGAACTCCAGTGATAGGAGTTTCTCTCTATGTTTAGTTTACGCCATTTAGACTGTTTAGACCATTAATACTAACCTGAATCGCAGCTTTCAGTGTTTTTTTAACTACATGTTTTACCTGACTGTTCTGCAATCAGATGGCTGCACTCCTTCAGTTCTGCAGCTCCTGTGAATTTTGCTTTAGGTAGTTCTAATGATTCATACGATTTGTAGTGGGTTTTACTACCAGTGAGTATAAGTATTATTACTCTGACTTTTTTGTCATTTGAGGTGTAGGATTTGGGCTGCCTGAGCAGTAACCTGAATGTAGCTTCAGGCTAGCTGTTATACCCTGGTCTTTTGCATGTTTAGGGTATTTTGATTAGAGAATGGAGTGAAGGAGGTTTTCAGAATAAGCACTAGATGCTAAAAATCAGCTTGTTTGCAAAACTAGTTTATACTCTCCGAGATTAATTAATGGAGTTTCTGGAATATATTGTGCTATTGATATATATCAACGTGTTCTTGATTCCCAGACTAATGGTTTGTTGAAGTTGTAAATGTTAAATATTAGACATGAATATGATTTAGTTGGATAGTTTTCTGAATGAACTTGAAAACAGAGTTCAACGAGATTACAAGAAGTCTAGTTTGAGAGTCCACGGATTCTAAAATGTATCGCTCGTTATGGTTTCTCTCCCATACTACATGTGCAAACTCAGAGCTGTGAAGAATCCAAAGAAATTTATAAAATCTCTCATTTGACGTCTAGTCTAGTAATCTGCATTAAATTCTTAAGAAAAAAAAATCCAGAAAAGTTTTAATTTAAATTAGAAGAGATTTGAGGGGTCTACAGCAACACAGATGACATTATGCAAATTTCCAACTTGTATTTGAACATTTGGTGATGTTTTATATACATAAAAAGTGCATAGCTACTTTCCTACAAAAATTGTACAAGCCACAAAATTGGAATATTACTTTGAGATAAGTTTGAAATCGCCTAATTTTACTGTCAGGTCTTTCACGCTTTTTTCCCCTGCAAATCTATACTTAGCCAACCAAATTTAAAAAGGATTAAAAATGTTCATCTGCTCTATAAACTGTTGTGGAAGGAAGACTAGGTCTGGGGAGAAGCTGAAAATTGTAAGAGACAATGAAAACAGAAAAGCTCATTCTCGTAATAGCATAATTTTCACTTGACTGAAGGGCATGGCTGCAAAAGCTGCCTGCTGGACATGGAGCCAATAGGTGCAGAAATTTGTATTTTGGTTAACAGTGTATACTTCTAACAGCTTAATCAATGTTGAGTAATATTTTATCCTCAGTCTGAGAGTAGATTAGCTGCCTTTAAGTAAGGACGGCAAAATCTGCCTTTCCAGTGTATTTGATTTGAGGATGAGAGATGGCAAGATGCGGCCATTTCCAGTCCATGAAATGTGCATTTTGTGTAAAACATTTTATGGTTTATTGCCCTGATGGTTAGTGTACTGTTTCTTCATATTTTCACCATTTATTCATCCATGTATTAAAATTTTGAAAAATGTAATTTCCTTGAGATGGAGGAATAGCATAAACTGAAACAATTGAAAACAGTAAAATGAAAGTTCACAGTTCTTTAAAAGCAATTCGTGTTTCCTGAATGCTTAGTATAATGTTACTAATGCTCATAACTATAAATTAATTAATTCTTAAGTTCTGTGAAAAACACAAGACAGAGTAGTCTCACAGAGCAGAGTCATTCAGAAAAAGACAGGCATTTCATTCCTTCTGTGTCCTATTTTATGATGATTGTGTTGAGGTTTCCTTATTTCCATAATTTTTTAGATGTTAGTTTATTCTAACAACTTAGTATACTACCACACATCAACATTTCTGGTCACCATGTATATTGAAAACATTTCATACTCCAGCATATATTTAAATGGTGTCCAAAAGTAAGTGTTATACTGTTCATAAATACCTAATAATTGGCAATAATATCCTCAACTTCAAAAACATAATCTGGAGCTGCAAAGTACAGTGTAAGAAGTAATATTCAATGAATAGACTTGTTAAATGGTTCCCAGAGATCCTTCATGGGCAGTGTATCTTACATTCCCTTTTGGTATTTAGAATCTCTTCTGCTTTAAATTTTGGTAGAAGTGATTTTAGTCACACAGAGAAAGATTTGATCTACTGAGTCACATGCTTTGATTTGCATCTTAGAGAAAGCTCTGCTCAATTTCCAAAGTACCTGCACAAAGTTTTGATGAAATAATTATTTTGCTCACTTTTCTCCAAAAGTATTTTACATTCAATTTTAAACTGCATATACAGGAAAGAGGATTTCATAGTGAACAAAAGAATGTAGTATTTCTTCCTGTTTCAGTATTTCAAAACTTTTATGCTACTTTACATTGTTTGTGGTGAGTGTGCCTCACTTCAAAAGAAAGTCTGTTTCTTGAATTGTTTCAGAAGTACCAAGAATATTCATTAATTCGAAACAAAACAAATTAAAAAAAAATTCTTCACTCTTGCATTGTGTATGCCTTTTCGTGAATGTAGTTAAAATATTCCAGTTAAAATCTCAAATTTCTTTGTTTTACTTTTTCTTATCTTCAGAACCAACATATATCACAATAGGTCCGCCCACCTGTGAGATTCTGGTGAACTGCACTTTGACTGAAAAGGACTGTATCTATAGCTTCAAACTGGACCAAAACGGTTGCCGCACTTGTCAGTGCAAAACTAGTGAGTATGCAGAAATACGGTGACTTCTATCTTTTATATCAAGCTGTATATGAAAATGCTTGTATGCTGTTTTTTCCATTCATAATGTTTATTATATGTTTTGTATGTATGTATGTGCTTTGCAGTTGTTCACCTTTAAGAATAGGTTCCTGATTTCTGACATTGCTTGTTTGCTTGCTTAAAATGTGTTTGGAGGAAAACATGTCTGACTTCAGATAAAAATTAACAGCTAGGTAGAAAAGGTAATAATTTGGTACTTAATATTCATTCAGACTTTGAGATGTCTGATAAGACTTCCACATTTCATTTTCCTCTGAGTATGTATAGAGTTTAAGAACATCTAGGTTTGTGCACTTTAAAAACTCCTGTTGGTAAACAGTCTATTTTCAACTTAGCTTTTTTTCCTCAAAACTTAGGTGTTGGGGATTGTTTGGATATACACAAATGTATCTGTATAGCATTTTATATCTATAACATATTCTTATATTTTAGATAGATAGATAATACTTTAGTTAGGGTTTACGCAGGCTTTAACATCTGTTTCTTCCCCAAGGTAAAACACTGTGGCTTGTGAGAACTTTGTGTGTATCAGTGAGGCAGCAAAAATGTATTTTCTGTATGTGTTTCCTGAAGAGTTCAATGTTTACAGATGAAATACAAGGCAAGGTCAGGTGGGTTGTTGGAATTGCCCAACAAAGGACGTCTGTGAAGTACTAGTATCAGATGCAGGATGCATCACTGTGGCTGCCAGCTCAGCCTAGAAATGGGTTTAAACTCTCTTTATAATTTTATTGTACTGATGCAGCTTCCTTGTAGGCTCTGAGGCTTTTGAAACTAAAGTATTACTCTGTTTCTCTTCCTTTGATTTCAGACCACCTGTTCTCAGCCACTTACTCAACCAGTAGATTCCCCAGCAGAAATGGTCAAAATAAAATTTTTAAATGGTACAAACTAAAGTGTTTTAGGATTGGATTGGTGTTTTGTTTAAGGAGCAAGAAAAGGCTTTGTCCTGGCTTGTTAAACTCTTTTTGGGGGGAAAATGTGCATTTTTTTTTATTTCCGTAAATTAAGCGACAGGACATCTTAATAACAAATATATGGCAAGCAATAATGTCATTATCGTGGCAATACAGAAATAATACCATTGAGTACAAGTTGTATTTGTGGCAAGGGCAAGTTTCCATAGATAACATCCAAGCTATAACATACATGCCTTAATTCCTTCTTTCAAAGCATAAAATTAGAAATGTTAAGTTCTGCTTTTAAATTGTAACTGGATTTTTCCTTTGTTTTTTTTTATTGTTCCTAAGCTGATTTTGAGGAGTTTGACAGAAACAAGATGGGCATGCCTGGCAAGTTTTATCATCTATGTCGGTGCACATAGTCCTTCCTGCCAGTTTGGTGCATCACCCTTTGGAGTGATTACCATATTGCACTTTACACATACCACATCCCAAGAAGTCTCTGTTCTTGCTTGGAGTTTTCTGATGAAATAGTGCTTCAAAACATATACAAGGGAATCTTTCTCTTGCCAGATTTGCTTGGAATTATTTTTTGTTTTGGAGTAGCAAACTGTCTGGAGCAAACTTAGTAGTATCATTTGACTGTCATCTTTTTTTGCATTTAAGTAACTTGAGTTGTAGATTGCTTAAAAATCTCCTCAGTCATTCAGAGAGGGGCAACCTTTATTTTCTAAAGAAGTGAAGAAAAATAACAGTCTTTGAAAGTCTTCATTACTTGGTGGTTATCAGTTAAAATGACAGAAGTAGAATTTTCCTGTCAGGTAACATCTTTTGCTTGCAAGGCTCTGGACAAAGGAGTGTGTGAGCACTGAGAAGAAAAGGAGCTTCAGGTCAAATATGCTGAAAATGTACTCTGCTAGTTCTCTGCATTTTGAGATCTTATGTCTTTCATATCCAAACCAGTTTAGTTGTATCTTGACTTTCTTAAGAATATGAGAATGTGTATTATCTTTAGCTCATGTAGCCTCGTGTGGGCTTTTGGAAGCATCACGCCCTCTTTACTGTTCCTACTTGTTTTTTCTCGTCTAAGCTGCTCAACTGAGTCAGCTTTAACGTGCCTGAGTGAAGGAAGGCCCCACGTACCCCATTACCATTTGAAGTCATAATATCCTTATTTTATTAATCTCTTTCCAATCATTTCCTTTTTTGTTAATTTCTCTTTAGATATCTCTGCTGAAGTTTCATTATACTTCAGTCTATTTCAGTCAAAATAAAAGTAAAATGACAAAGTGGAAGATAGAGTAAAGCTGTAAATTGTTCCTTATTAATAATTTGATTTACATTCCTCTAGCCAGAAATCAGTACAACAGGTTTATTTGAAATAATTAGCTAAATATTATCCATGAAACTTGTTTGATGCTTTGCTGTAGTCTACTTTCAAGTTTATCCATCTTGAATCAAGCCAACTACAAAACAAGAAGTGAGAAAGAAGCAAATAATAACTTTTTTAGAATACAATTTTATTAAAGTTTAGTTTGTCCTTAATCCTTCTTCCTCTTTTTGCACTGAACACAAAAACACATTACAATAGCTTGAAGTGAAAGCATACGTGCTGTAAAATAAAATTTAAAAAAGCAGAGACCACAGTTGTAAGAGAAAGGAGGAAAAAAGCTACCACCGAGCAAATACTGAGCACAGATAGATATGGGGGCAAAGTTCCAGTGAGTAGAGATGGAACCACAAATTATGAAAGAAGGAATGATCACACTGACTGATAGAAGCCAAAGCAGCACTATGTGAGGATAAAAGGAAAAAAGTATAATCCCAGATATAGGAAGAACTGCTACAAAATAACAAGAATAAAACTAAAACAGTAGGAAAAACATGAAATGCATTACCGAAGGAAAAAAATTATACAAGAGTAAACAGAAATAAGCAAATAAAAAATTGTTACTTATAGGGTGCAGCAATTGCTATTGTGTTTGGAATGTCTAGGCCTTTGTTTTCATAGGGAGTAGATTAAAGTCTTTAGGAGGAGGAGTACATTAGGTGAATGAAACAAAACCAACGATCGACTATTTGTGAGGCAGCACTCCTGTTGTTCCAAAGACGACTAATGGGCACATTGAGTAACGCCTGATGATTGCAGTAACATAGAGTTTAAAATCCGACAGTTGCTGCTGGACACTAAATCATTCTTCAGTGAGGGACAGTATTTTATCTGGCCTTGTCTATGCCCTGTATTGTATTCATGAAAGATAAAAAGCCTTTAAAATCTCTCCTACAACTTAGACTGTAGCATTTTAACACAAATGACTTGAACATGAAATACTGTTCCGGGTATAACTGCAAGCATGTGTGGCTTTAGTATTTTGTAACCTTTCAAATTTTACTATAATTGAGTGAATTTAGAGTATTGCTGTCAATTTTAAAAATTATTTCATTTAGAAGACTTACTTTTGCAGTTGCAGGACGCAACTGTCAGGCAATTTCTTTATGGAGAGATGCAATTGTAGAAGGCTTAGATAAGTTGTTTTCCCTGTACATTATGATGCATCATCTTCAATTTTGCGGTCTCTTCTGTCTGTCAAAGCAAACCATGAAATCACTATTCAAAATTTAGAACGCATTATATATAGATAGAGAAATATTTTTGACAGAGTGCTGATACCTTCTGCTTAAGGCATGGACTTCACTATTGTGGCGAGCCACACCGTCACCTTTTATAGCTGGTGAAGCTGAGTGGAATTCTGACAGGAAATTTGGGGTTGGCAGCATGGGACTTGGTTTAGTTGTGCAAATGTTAAAAGGCAAGATTGGAAGGTTTGAGAAAAAATAGGTAGGTACATCTATGGGCTGTTCTTAAATAGCAGCACTTAAGGCTCCAAAAACGTGTATGGAATGATGATGGGAAAAAGCTTAAGAAAAATTTTGCAGGGATTACAATAGGAGAATACAGCTCAACTCCTTTTCTTCATGTGGTAGTTATTCAGTAGTTGAGTTTGGGATGGGTTTCCTAGCCTTTTGTTCTTCCTAGCCAAAATTGGAATATTTTATTTCTTTATTCCTGTAAATAATCCATATTCAGAGATATGATCTGAATACTTCAAAACTACCTCAGTGTTAACTTTGTCTATTTAAAGAAACGTATTTTTTATATCAAACTAAGGAGGAACATGTAATCACACACTCATCACACAAAATGTACATTCCAGACGGAGGAAAATTCCTGAAAATAGTTAAGTAAAAAATAAATTAGGTAACACTTTTCTATTTTAGTAACAATTATATCCCATCGTTACCTTGATTTAGCAACAGGTTCCATGGGGAAAAAAAAATACAAAACCAAAGACACTCCAGGTAGTCTCCCTTAGTGCAAGGAGATTGCACCTTGGATTTTTGAATAATTTTGTAGACCTGGCAAAAAAAGGATTTTTTTTGTTATTCTTCTGCAGTGATGTGAAAGGAAATAGCTATTACATATTAGACCTCAGTTAATCAAATACAGCAGTGGAGAATTAGGATGAAGTATGTTTCTTAATTTTTTAAGACTTAGAATATTTACTTTTGTCTGATCAAAGTAGAACAGAAATACTAACTCTAGGTACGCATGTGGAAGATAATAGGAGTGCTCTGTGAAGAGGGTAGAATTATGATTAACTACACATGCCAAATAAATATTATCTGTCTTCTCACTAGAATAAAAGTCTTTGGCAAGGTTTTTTAGTAATGCTTACAATACACTTAATGCAATAGAAGCAGAGAATAACTTCACTTGACTTGGGAGTAGGGGGAGGAAACAAGCAAAAACCAACAATGTGCTGCTAGGAGATTTGTGTAAACTTGATCATTTTTCAGTAATTCCGCGTTTGAGATACCACTGCTACAAAACCATTTTCATGAAGTCGTGTTGTATGTGAATCCTAGAGTTGTTTAGAGCAAGTATCCACGTGGGGAAATTTGCCTCAATGGACTCACAAGATTCTTTTTTTAAACAGGGTTTTCTAGCATCACAGTGCCCACTCCATTTTTATCCAG